TTGAACTTCCCAAGCTATGGCCTGGGTTTAGGGCTTTCCCACCCTGCTAACTAACTCCTGTTTAACGGTGGAAACTCCTCAGTCAGGCTTTAAAAGAGCCAAAGTCAGACCGAAACCCAAGACAGAGTTTCTGGGGCTGGTTAAGAGATGTTCCACCATGGGAGAGGTTGAATGATAACCCAGGAGTGATGCTGGAGGCTGTAAAGCTGATGGTAGCTGGAGCACAGAGCAGGCATGGGGATGTGTGGGACCACACCATCTCCCCAGCCCTCCCCATGCATCCCGAGGCTCAAGGTTTTTCTGAAAATCCTTAGGAATTTCAGAGGGATGAGCAGCCTGAGTTTCCCCAGGCACCTTTGGGATGCTGGGCTGGCGCTGAACCCATTTGCAGATGAGGAGGAAGCAAATTCCTTACCCTGGACACATGAAACCTTTCCTGGAGAAGTGCAATTACTACCAGAAAAATCAGTGAAAGCAAAGGCTGGGAACAGCACAGCACTTATTTTTAATAACAGCTTGGCGTAATCTGCACACATTTTTCAAGCAGCACCAGCCTTTTCCTGCCAAGGCCCCTCTTTAACCATATTTCTCTTGGAAAATTTCTGCCATGGCTCAAAAGCTCCATGTGTGGACAGAGACTGAGGGAGAAATGGGAATTTCAGGGGGATAGGGAATATGTTCTTTCCTTATCTGTCCTGCAACAAGCAGTACTGCCCTGCCTGCCCTCTTGCAGCAGGAGGAGGAGAAATGCCGACTCCCCCCAGGGAATTCTTGAGGGGGTATTTTAGTAGTAGACTCATTGCAGGCTACACAGAGGGTTTGTGGCCTGGTGTCCCCACTACACAAATGGTTTGTGACTCAATGTCCCCACTCTGTGAGTGGCAGCACAGTTGGCTCTCTGAATGTGGCAGCCCTGGCTGGCTCCCGGTGTGGAGCTGAGCCAGCATCGAGCCTCATCCAGAGCAGCTCCTGATTGAGCATCCAAAATTTTGGAAAGCTCCTATTGATTTGGGGAGCTGAATTTAACTCTGGCAAGCGCTTCACACCCACACACACACAGCTGCACAGCCCGGATCCAAGCAGGGTGATGAACAGCCACAGGAGGCCACGTGCAAGGTCACTGCCACCCACTGCATCCTCACAGCCCCAGTCCACGGCAGCTGATCATCACACAAGGTGCTTAAACCTCATCTTTAAGCAAGGCTGAGGTTGCTGCCCTGTGCTGCAGTGGGTCTGTGACAGGGAACCCCTTGCAAAGGTGGAGCATCACAGCACAGGCATCTTCTTGTCCCTGCCCTGGGCACCCAGCAGTGCCTGTGTCCCACCCGGTGTGGGATAACCCCAGGGTGCACAGCCAGACCCCGGAGCCTTGGTGGCTGCAAGTGCTGGCGGTGATGGTCCCTGGCTGGGAGTCATTTGTGACAGCTAAAGGCAGGCGCCTCCAAAAATACCTGTGGGGTTGTCACCCTGGGGGAGTGATGGGTTCTGGCAAGGCTGTTCTACTCCTTGCTGGCAAGCCGAGCGCCAGGGAGGCTGAGTGGGTGCCCACTCATGCTGAGGCCACCCACCAGAGCCCACGCTGCGTACACAGGGATGAGCACCCTCCCCTGCCTGCCCCGCTGGCACCCACCCGGGGAGCTGAGGGTCGGGGGGAGAAGAGAAATTCGGGAGAGAGGGAACAACCAGGTGTTTTCCGCTCTGTGCCCACCGCAAACATGACCAAAAACCTGTGCATGGTGCCCGCTGCACCTTGGTGTCCCCAGGGACCCGTTCCCTAGCTGGAGAGAGGGGGGGGGAGTGATGCTCGCAGCCCCGGGCAGGGGTCGGGGGATGCTCGGGGGTGCTCGGGGAGGGCGGCATCGCGGGGCTGGCGGCGGGCGGAGCCCCCGGGGGTGGCGGATCGCGGCGCCGCCCCCGGCGCGGACACCGGGGCGGGGCGGGGCGGGCGAGAGCGCCCGGTGCCGGCGGCGGCGCGGGGGGCGCGGGGCTCCGTCCCCGCCCGAGCGCGGCCCCGCTGCCGGAGGATGAGCTGCGGCCGGCCCAAGGACATGGAAGGTACCGGGTGCGGGAAGCGGGGGGGAAGGGGGCTCAGGTGTGCGGCGGGACGAGCTTCCCCCAGCCCCGAACGCGGCGGGCACGGAGCTGGAGGGCTACCCGCTCCATCCGGGGGGCTGCCCGCCCTCCATCCCCTGATGCTGCCCTCTCCATCATCCCGGGAGGTCTGCTCTTCATCCCTGCCCCCTGTGCTGCCCCCTCCGTGCCGCGGGTCTGCCCACTCTCAAACCCCCCAGTGCTGCTCTCTCCATCCCGGGGCTCAGTCAGTCCCTCCACATCCCCCTTCGCTGCCCTCAACATTCCCGGAGGGTCTGGACCAATGCCCTAGCCCCCGTATTGTGGGTACCAGCGAAATGGGCTGGGAAAATTGGCTAAAGAGAAGGGATGCAGGTGTGAGGGCAGGGCAGGTGGGCCTGGGGGTGCTGGAGCCGGACAAGACCCCTGGGAAGAGCGTGTCAGGGTGGAAGGGAGCTCACTGCAGGCAGGGCTGTCTGTGCCTGTGGGCTCCCACACCATCTTCCTGCCAGGAGAACCTGCCCAGAGCCAACCCGAGGTCCTGCCTGTTGCCCACACCCCACACTCTCCTGGATGCCCAACCCTACAGAGATCCTCTGTTCTGGGGTGCTCAGGGACCTCCTGGCAGTACCCATGTAGGGCTCAGGAGCACAGACATCTCCCAAGACATGCACAGTCACCCCAGACACCCTGTCCACTCCCCCAGTGTGTGCCCAGGGCACCCACTGTGCTGCACTGGGAAGATGGAAAGGACACCTGCCTTTTGTTCCCTTCCTCCTCCATCCTCAGGAGGCACCAGCATTGAGCAGCCACCAGCCTGAACTCTGTCCCTGTACCAGGCTCCCTTCTCACCACCTCTCACCTTCAGAGGGAAGCACTGGGGTGATGCTCTTCCCAGCCAGGCCCTGAGCCAAATACACTGCAGGGGAACCTGGAAGGGTGGGAGGGTGTCTCAGTCCTCTCTGAATCTGGTTTCATAGTCTTCTGGGCCAGCAGCTCTTAGGGAATGGCCCAGGGCAGGATCTGGTCCATAAGGACATCCTGTAGGCATGGCTTCAAAGATGGGATGTTTTGGGAGATTCCACAGAGTGTCACTGGGATGATCATCCCTGGGGACTCTGCCAGTGCAAGCAGCAGCTCTGCCCTGCACCCAGGTGAAGCCACATGGAAGGGACGGAGGGGGCAAGGGCAATGCCAATGCCAGCCAGGCTCATAGCTCGGGCAGATGCCTCTAAAAGCGAGATGAGTCCTTCACAAAGCTGCCCTGTGAGCAGAGTGGGTTCCCCGTCCTAGCAGTTTTCAGGGATTTCTGGTCCCATTCACCCCTCCCCTGCCTGCAGGAACACAAGAGTGATGACCAGCTCCCAGAATCCCCCTCCTGGCAAACCCCTGGCTGCATTTGGTGCTAAGTGTCTCCCTTCCTCTCCAAACACAATGTGACGACCCACCCTTAGGGTTTGACACACACGGGGAACCAGGAAAACCCACGAAGGGATTTCATTCCTTATGAAGCTCGTTTCAAGCTTCTCCCATTAATCCTGGGAAGCCTGTCTGACCCCAGCAAGCCTGGCTGCCCCCACCACAGCTGCCTGCAGACATGTCCCCAGCTGGAGGGCAGGTCTCTGGGACACCCACAGGTGTGGTGGTGTCAAAGACACTGGCGTGTTCCTGAGGCCACGCTGAGAAGCAGTGGCAGGGGAGGGAGCAGGATTCAGGCAGTCTCTGCCTGTCCAGGCACAGGACTCCCCTCGCTGTGCCCCTGCCTGCTGCTCCTGCAGCCTGGCTGCCTGCTACCTTGTCACCTGGGCAGCTCCTGGCCACCTGCGAGCAGGAAGCATCCGTGTAAGTCACCAGGAGATGCTTTTGTCGGTGCCTGCTGCCAAATCCTGCCCCGAGGTGTCTCCATCCCCAGGAGGTTTCCCTTCCCTCTCCCCAGCAGCGGCGGCTGCTGCTCTGAGCCTCTCCAGCGCTCACGTTTCACTAACCATGAAAGTGTCTGGAGAGGGAATGGGAGCGGGAGCAGCCTGGCGAGGGGAGGGAGCAGCGTCTGTCCCTGCCACTGCTGCTGACCCTGTCCCACTGCTGCTGGTCCCCTTGTGGTGACCCGGACCTAACCTCCCCTATCCTTCTCTGCGAGGCTGGAGGGATGCCCAAAATGGATCAGAGAGCCATGGAAACGAGCCGGCAGTGATTCCCTGGCGGCAAACAGGCAGTGGGGTGTCTGTTGCAAGGGGCTGGCAAACGTGGCGCAGGGACCATGGACCAGCTCGTGGGGACTTGGAACAGTGGGGTCATAGTGGCTCTTTGGGAACTAGAGATGATCAGTCCCCTCCCCACTCTGGCTTGGACCCAACCAGGCTGGAGACTCCTGCATCTCCATTTCAGGGTTCAGCACAGCCTTTGCTCTCTGACCCACACTGCCTCTGTGGGCACCTCCCTTCTGCCTGGACCCCAACATGGCCATAACCATGATGGCTTTGGCTCTGAGCAGGTGCAGCCCACGCTGAGCCCTGCAACCCCTTCCCGGAAGGCTGCTCTTCACTTTACTCCTTTTCTTTCCCTCCTGCACCCCGAATGCCCCAAGCCACCGGTGACCCCAGTGCTACCATACTCATGCTACGACTCCACTCAGCCCCAGGGCACTGTGATGCCCGGTGGGTTAAGCGTCTCTTGCAGCAGCCCCCCAGGCCTCCTCTCCATCCCAGTGCCAGCTGGCCCTGCGGCGGGATTAGGCGGGAGCACGCGAGGAAAGCACTGAACATCTCTCCGGATCAAACGCCCACGGGGCAGTGGGGAGGGGGCGTCATTCATCCCCCACACACACACGCGAGACCGGCTCGGGGCTGCCCAGAGCTGGGATGAGCCTGCAGCCAGCGCTCAGTGGCAGTGGGAGGGAGGCGATCGGGGGAGTCAGTCAGGTGTGGACGAGGTATGAGGGGAGGCAGGGATGGAGCCGCACTCGTGACAGCGGTGCCGAGCGCTCACGCGCATCCCTCCTCCCGCCGAGATGCAGCAGGGCCGGCCATCCCTCTGCTGCGTCTCCACCATCCGCAGCTCGCAGGGACCACCCGAGCCAGGTGAGGGGTCTCCAGGGCACGGCTGGGGGGATGCAGGGCATGGATGGGGGGGCTGCAGGGCCAACGAGTGTGGTGGGAGATGTTGCATGTGCATCCCTGGCCGGCGGGCACAGCCTCCGGCTTGGCAGAGGAGCAGAGGGGATGGAGGGTGGCTGAGTGCTCTTGGGGATGCTGTGGGTACTCCCTGTGCAGGGCATGGGAAGGGGAGGAAAGCCTGTGTTGGATGTCACCTCGCATGTCCCCGTGTAAAGCCAGCCCAGGGCTGCCCTGCTGAGGGGCTCCTCTGTGCCCTTCCTTCTCGTGCTCCAAAACACTCGCTGCTTGGCATCACCTTACCCTCACCCATGCCAAATGCTGCCTGGCGATGGGAAAGTTGGGACTCGAGGGCTGGGCTGGGGGGACGAGGCTGTGGAGGAGCTCCCAGAGGAGCTGCCAGAGCCTCTGGGCTCCAGGACAGCAACTGCCTGCCCCAATGGGGAGCTCTGCCAGCAGTGCTCCCAGCCCTGCCTTTCTTCTTGCTTGGCTTGTTGTGTTCCCTTTGTCTTTCACCCCTCTCTCCCATCTGCTCCCACTCCTTCTCTCTCACCTCCAACTGTGTTTGCTGGAGGACCAGAGATGTCCATGTCCTGCTGCTGGAGGCAGATGCTCCATAGATCCCTTTGGATATGGGTCCTGCTGATGGCCAGAGCCCCCTTTCCTCTGCTCCCTGCAGAGAGTCCTGGGGAAGCCCCGGCATAGCCAAAAGAAGCTCTGGCACCAGTCCCTCCAGACCCGCTGTGTCCATATTTGCCACAACAGCCGGTGGGAGGGACAGTTTCCAGCTTGGGGGTATCCCAGCATGGCTGTGTCAGGTCTGGGTGCTCAGGGTGCTGGGGACAGGACAGCCAGTGGCATGGAGGGAGAATTGGGCACCCTTGGCTGGAGGGAGCACAGCCTGGTGTAGACCTTGCCCACCAGGTTCAGGGTGTCTGGGGTTTTGGAAGCCATCAGAGACATCCCCATCCCCTGGGACAGACACAGAGACCAGTCCTGCCTCTGTTCCCCACCGAGCCTCTCTGTGCATCTTGCTTCAGGGTGTTTTCCATGCAGTCGCTTCCCCAGCCATCAGACAGGAGCCCTGCCTCAGTTTCCCCATGGCAACAACTGTCACCCGGTGTGTTTGAGAAGCAACATTGTGTGATGTGGTCTGGGTATGCTGGGACACATGGACAGTTCTTTTTTGCTGTATTTTGACTTCTTTTGGCCGGTTGTTCTCCTCCTGCATGAAAGTGTGCTCGAAAGTGTGTCCTTTTGAAACCTCTTCCCTCTTAAAACCCACTAATTAGGGAAATGAGCTGCATCGGGGTTTCTCCAGCCCTTTTGCTCTCCCAGGGTGGGTTATCCTGAGGGTGGGTCTCCTTCCGGTGCTGCTCTGCTCTTGCAGGGGGTTTGTGACTTGCCCAGCTCCCCGTGGTGGCAGCAGGTGAGCTGGGGGATGCTCTGGTCTTTGCTTCCGCGGATCAGAGCTGCTTATGTCAAGCCGTCTGGCTTTTATCCGGAGCAGACTGAGCGTGAGCCCCTAATACCCACTAACCCCTCCTCCCACAGCAGCCAGGTCCCTTCACCCCCCTCCAAAGGAAAGCTTTGCATCCTCATCGCAACCCCAATCCCCCCAGCTTGTTCAAACACAAGGAATTGGACTTCGAGGATCCTTGTGCACCCCTTCTGAGTCAGGATATTCCATGAATAAGGGACAGAAAGTACTTGTTGTGTGTAAATGGCTCTTCGTGGTCATCATTGATGGGCTGGCACGTTTTTGACCATCCCTGGAGTCCCACGGGTGCTCCCCAAGCACCCATGCTCTGTGCTGGGGGGACCAGCCTGCATCCCCTTCCCCATGGGGCTGCTCAGGGTGGGTTTCTCTGCTCCCCTTCCCTCAGTGGTGGCAGTTTGCTCTCAGCCTGTCCACAGAAAGCAGCCCCCTCCCAGTGCCTGTCCCGACAGAGTGGCAGTGATGAGCAGGAGGTTCTAACCACGTGTTGGGATCAGCTGCAGGCCCCACGTCTGCTCGGCTGGCGGGTGTCAAAACAAACGTGGCTTGTGAGGGGTTTGTGTGGGCAAACATCTTGTCGGGCGCCTGCTGGATCCTGGTGCCAGCTGGCAGGTTCCTGGGTGGGTGGGTTTTGTCCCTGGCAATGGGAAAAGAAGGCGGGAACGGGGGGATTTTGGAGGAGAGGACCACAGCCTGAGTTTAGAAGGTCCTGCAGGGCAGAAGAGGCATTTTTGGGTGCCTAAGCGTGGGGTGGACGGTCACCATGGCCATGTCTCAGCCCCCTTTCCTCCGCAGCCGCCGCCGCCGCCACCGCCCACTTCAGCTTCTGCCGCAGCCTCCTGGAGCACACGGTGTCGGCCGAAAACCTCAGCTACCGCCTGCAGCGGAACCCGGGCAGCAGCCTCACCTGGCACGACGGCCGGAGCCAGCGCCCCGACGGCGGCCGCACCGTCAAACTCCTGCGCCAGCCGGGCACCGAGGGCTCGCAGGTACCGCCAGGATCCCGCCCCGGGCATGCCAAGGGCAGCTCAGCTCCTCACGTGCACCGGCCCAGCGACTCCCTGCAGGAGCATCTCCTCTTTCCCTGCAGGATCAGGCCTTCAGATCTCTTTTTGCTGAAAGCCCTTGTGGTTATAGGGCATTTGATTATAATAATACATATAAACGTAATCATTTAAGCATGGTCATCAGGCTGAGGGCTGTGCTGGGGTGAGCTCTGTGTGTCACCTCCCCTCTGTGTGTCACCTCTCCTCTGTGCATCACCTCCCCCCCACAGCTGTAGCTGGGACTTAATTTTGCAGTAAATGTGCCAGAACCCAATTCTTTATAATGCCTTAAAATGCCTGAGTGTTTGTGTACGTCTCCCAGCCATGTTTGGGCCATTATCCTCCTAAAATTTGGAACTTTATTGTATTAAGGAGGCTGTGAGCCAAAGGTTTCCATCCATTCACTGCTGCACAGCCACGGAAGGAGCATCTTCCCTGCATGTGGCTCCTGGTGCTTCCCAGCCCCTCCATAACACCCTGGGAGTGTTGTTTAGAGGCAGCACGTCCAGCCAGTGACTGCTAAACAGAAAATGGGGAAAATCCAACTGCCCGGCTTCCAGCCCCCAGCATGGAGATGCTTTTTCATTGCATGGGCCCAGTGGGTTTGGGGTCAGAGGGGAGCAGGGATCCTGCAGTGGACACAGTGTCCCATGTGCTGGTGGCACTGTCCCCATCACCCACAGATGCACCAGGGCACTCCAGCTGCCATCTGTGCTCATCATGGCTCTCCCTCCTCCACCTCTGTGTGCCGACCGGAAGGATTTAGGGAGAGAAAGGTTTTAAATTTACTATAAGCAAGGAAAAATGCCCGAGCGAGAGGAGGTGATGCAAGTTGCTCCTTGCAGATCCCAGGGATGGCTTCCAACCCCCCTCCCCTGCTTCCTCAGCCACCTCCTGCTTCCCCGCCAGAGCAGCCTCCCAGCCCTCCTGCCTGCTCTCCTCCACACCGGCGCTCGATATTCATGGCTGAGAGTTTATCAGAGAGACAGCGCAGCTCAACCGGCTGGAAAACGAACCCATGATCCTTTACACCTTCCCTGCCTCTCTGGGGAGTTCAGGGCCTCCCTTGGGGACCCTCCATGGGGAGGGGAGGATGCAACCCGAGCAGGCAGAGCAGGATTTAGGGATGCCGGGATGGTCCCCGGCGCAGGGCTGTGCCTGATGAGCGAAGCACGTGCAACCGTGTGCGTGCCCAGGGAAATTGCCAGTTGTTTGTCACCTCTTCCCCCCCATGCCTCAGAGGGTTAGTTGGATAATAGCTGTGGGAAGCTCGCAGTAAGCTCCCGGGAAGCTGGTTGTTATTCCCCCCAGCCCCTCCGCTTCTCATCATTACTCGTTAGTGAATCCAGAGCAAATCGCCTCCTCCTCCTCCTCCTCCTCCTCCCCACGGCACGCTCTCCGGCGCGCTCAGCCGAGTGTGAAGGAGCCGCGCAGCCGGCGCGGGCTGGGGCTGCTCCCGCAGGCAGGAGACTCCCGGGATGCGTCTGGGAGAGCCGGGCAGCTGCCGGGGTCTCCCCCAAAGGTGAGGGTTTGGTTAGGAAACCGAATCGTGTGCCTTTTCTATCGCATTTTTCCATCTGCTTTGGAGGTGGACTCCTTGGTTATTAATGTACAGCCTCCCAACTTTGCCTTCTTCCTTCCCTCTTGCTTGAACGTTCCCAGCGAGCTCTGCTTGAGGAAAAGCCCCTTCCAAGCCCAAACGCATCCCTGGGCATAGTGGCAGGGAACACATCCCAGACCCTCCACTGCCCTCCACTGCCCTCCACTGCCTCATCTCCAGCATCTCTCAGGAACGTGTCATTAGCTTCAGTAACCGCGGGATGTCTGGAGTCCCTGTTACACTAATTATCCCTGCTCCTCTATTAGACATGCTTAATTAGCCAGTGTTCTCACTCAGAGGTCGATGTTGGCATACGCACTGTCAACCTTTCCTGTGCCGGTGTGTCCCTGCATCCACTGCTGCTCCTGCCCTGCCCCTGCTATGTCCTGGGCATGAGTGGGTAGCAGAGACCCCTTTTCCACACCCATTTGCCCAGGATCCAGCCCAGGATAGACACAACAGCTGGGCACAAGGAGATGTTTTGGAACAGTGATGTTTGCTGGTGCTGCTCCAGGATGAAGCCTCAGCATCACCAGCAGCAGAGAGCTCACCAGTCTTTCCTGGGTGCTAAAACCAGGGAAGAGGAGATTCCTGCATCCTCCAGCCCCATTTCTCCAGCAACCTTGAGGATTGCCTGGGAGAATCAAGCCTGTTTTGCCGTGCAGTTACAGCTCAAGACGATTGGGTTGCTCCGTACAAGACAAATCCAGGCTGCAATGACCTCGCGAGGCCAGAGTAGCTGTGACATGGGAGAGGAAAGGGAGCTACTGTGTGGCTCAGGGTGAGACTGAGTGACTCACAGGGAGATTGGCCAGTGCAGCAGGCAGCTGGAGGAAGGGAGGGAAGGTGGGATTTAGGGATGCTGTCGGACAAGCCTTGTCTCCCTGTGGGTATCACTCATTACTGTGCATGGCATAGGTCTATGTGAGGTGGAGCATGGCCATGCTGGGGTGCTGAGGACTGTGACCCTGCTTTATCCCTGGTGTCTCCAGGCAGGGCAGCACCCCAAGAATGGGCTGTGGGGTTCAGAAGTGGCTTTAGCACCTGAGAGGCTTCAGGACCTCATTGTGACCAGTCAGCTCAGGACTGGAGGGGGTTGAGATGGAGAGAAAGGGAGAGTCCCTCCTGCTCCAGGGCACCAGCTGGCTGCTGGCTGCTTTCCTGGGGATTTCTGGTGGGGATGGATTTGCACTGGTATCAACATCTGCTGAGCATGGCTTTGCATTATTTCCTGCTGTCCCACAGGACCTCACTGGCTCCATCCCCACTGAGAGCTGCCAGCAAGAGCCATTCTCTGCCTGGTGAGGAGGGGACCCTGAGGACCCCCCAGGACATCTCCTGAGCCTGTGCAATGCTCTGTTGGGCTGGGAGATGCATAGGGGAGCTGGACTGGGTCTCTTGTCTGCAGCAGGAGGGTTGGGGAATGTGAGGTGTGGAGTCTGTAGAGGGTAGGACCCTCAGCTCAAGCTCCCATCCTCCCTCCCATCACCTCCCTGACTGGTTCCTCTGATGCTGCTATTTCAGGGTGATCCCAGAGACTCTAGAGGGTGCAGAGCCAAAGTCTGCCAGTGTCACCCCAATCCTGTGCAGCCAACCAGCCTCTCCCCCCTCCCCGTGGACTGACCTCCGTTTTCCTCCTCACAGGATTGAATCCCACTAACCCCCTTCCCTCACACTCCCCTCAGGGCCGTGGCTGTGACCACTATGGCATCTACCACACCAGCCCCACGCTGGGCAGCCTGGTCAAGCCGGTGGTGCTCTGGACCCAGCAGGATGTGTGCAAATGGCTGAAGAAACACTGCCCACACAACTATCTCATCTACGTCGAGGCTTTCTCCCACCACGCCATCACAGGTATGGTGTGCCCTCCACTTCTCAGCTGGACTAATTGCCTTTAGAGTGTGCTCCTGGGAAAGGGCTGCTTGGAGGTTCATGGTTCAGAAGATGGATATACTCCCCATTTCTGTCCCTTCTGCCCATGAGATGCAGCCAGTGTGAGAGCAGGGGACACAGGGACACTGATCCGGGCTGGGCAGGAGGCATCTGCCACTGGGGTGACCTCCAGGATGGGCTGGAAGTTGTTGTAAAGGAGGATAAATTGATTTATAGGTTAGGGAAGTCTCTTCTTCTCACCTACATTACTATAATAATATTTTTATTGGTTTTTTAAATACTGAAAATTTTTGCAGAAGAGTAAAAGCTCTGCCCAGCAAGAGTCCAAGCTGCAGATGTCTTTGTCCAGCTCTGAATCCAACTCCCAACCAAGTCCTTGGAGGTGACCCACTTCTCGGACCTGCTCCCCCCTTGCTCCCTGGGGACAGTGGCTTTGACCTCTGTGTAAGAGGGCAGAGCTCTGCCAGGTCCAGGGGACGGCGGCAGGGAGGGGAGCACCAGAGCTGCCCGGGAGGGATGCACAGCCCTAATGCAAGAGCTCAGCCAGCCCTTGCCCGGGCAACAAAGGCAGCATTAGTGAGTGTACGCTGGGAAGCAAGGACAAAAGCTGGTTTTAAATCTCTTGTCCAATAGCCCCCAGACTGGAGGAGAGTGGCTTGGTGGGGACTGGAGTGCTAATGCGTTGTGATGGGCACCCCCATTCCCCCGGGATGGCCAGCCCATGTTGGGACCCAGCGCTCGCAAAAGCATCTCCTCGTGTGGGAGGTGGAGCGGAGAAATGGAAAGCTGCTGCCCGCAGGGTGGGTTACACGACTGCGGTGGCGGTACCTGTCAGAGGCTGGGGACATGGAGCTGTCACCCAGCACTCTCTGAAAGTGAGGCCACGAATCACAGCCCCACAGAATGGTTTGAGTTGAAAGGGACCTTAAAACTCATTTTGTTCCAAAACCCCCTGCCGTGGGCAGGGACACCTTCGTCGCTCCAAGCCCCGTCCAACCTGGCCTTGGGCACTTTCAGGGATGGGGCAGCCACAGTTTCTCTGGGCAACCTGTGCCAGTGCCTCACCACCCTCACAGGGAAGAATTTCTTACCAATATCCCATCCAACCCCGCCCTCTGTCAGTGCAAAGCCATTTCTCCCTTGTCCTGTCTCTCCCTGCCCTTCCCCATCCCCGTGAGCCCAGGCAGTGGAAGAGCACTTCAGGATTCCTTCCATCCCTGCATGCTGACGGGCTCCCCTTTGCGTGGCCCTTCCCTGGGGTCCCCCACAGAGCCGTTCGGTGTTTGCAGGCCGGGCGCTGCTGCGGCTGAACGGGGAGAAGCTGCAGCGCATGGGGATCGCGCTGGAGGCGCAGCGGCAGGAGGTCCTGCAGCAGGTCCTGCAGCTCCAGGTGCGCGAGGAGGTCCGGAACCTGCAGCTGCTCAGCCAAGGTAGGGCGGGCAGGGGATGCCGGGCAGGGGAGGCTCCAGGGCTGGGCTGTGGGTGCGAAGGGATGAGTTGTGGTGAGCAGGGCCAAAAAATCTGTTGGCGCCGTTTTGCGTGGAAGGGACGAGGTTCTGCGGGGCTGGCGGTGGGTGAGCTGGGATGCGCCACCCTGCAGGCTGTTTATTCCTTCCTCTCCCACCTTGTTCCAGCTTCTTTTGGAAATGTCTCCTAGCTGATCCATCTGTTTGGCAGATTGCACCAACACTGTGAACCGAGCTCCGCTGGGATGGGCTGTGCCCCGCAGAGACGAGACCTGAGCCACACGCTTGGAATACGAAGAGACAGCTTCCCAGGCACTCCAGGGCTCCTCTCCTGCTTCTTCCTTCTCTTTCTTTCAGAGGAATACATTCCTGTGCAGGGATGGAATGTTTCTTCCAGCAGACATGGTTCCTGGCTGAAGGAAAATTAGCAAAGCAGCTGCTGGGACAGATGATGAACTTTCCCCCACCTGAGCCTGATGGTTCACAGGGAAAGAGATGGAAAAAAGGAGATGGCAGCAGGCACGGCTCAGTACTGTGGAGAAATGGAACGCAGTGATTCCTGGGACAGCTCAGAGCCACGTGCAGGACACTGAAGCATTTGCACATGGGCAATATCCCAGCGCTCGGCAACTTGTATCCGTGCCTCGGAGCTTATTTAGGGAGCTTTAGTTTTCTCATCAGACTGGGCTGTCTTCCAGCGTCCGAGGAGGTGACGTTATCAGTAGCAAATAAGACGATCCAACCAGCCAAAAAAATTCAAAGCGGGGCCAAGACCCCAGCATCCGGCTCCACTTGGTGAGTTAAAAATGGAGCTGAGTCATCGGAGCTGGAAAATCTGGAAGTAAAGGCAGGGTGGATGCGCCGGGAGGGTGCCGTGGCCTGGAGGGAGCTGTGCCAGGAGCTGGTCCCTCATCCACGGGCAGAGCGGGGAGCCCGTGCAGGGGCCAGCGGGAGCAGACGTGGATGCTGCCAGGTGGTGCTGGGTGCTGCCCTGGGGTGAGGCTGGGGGATTACTGGGTGCCAGGTCCCCCTCAGCCCCAACACCCAGCCCTGCTCCTCTCCGTGCTCCCAGCAGCTCTGAAGAGCTCTGCTCCACCAGGTGCTCATCCTGACCTCCTGCCCAGGGTCTGGCGGTGGTGCCACCAAACCCAGGCGCCTTCCTGATGACCTTCACCATCAATAAGGTGAAGGTGCTTGCTGTTACACCCCTCCACCCACTAAACCGCCCTGTCCAGAGCCACAGACTGCTCATGTGGGCAGGTAAGGAACACCCATGTGTAAAATAGGATTTGGGGGTGGGGTGGATGCTGTCATCTCCCCACGTTCCACCTGCAGTGATGAGGGCAGGGCTGTGGATCATGGGGGTTCAAAAACACCAGCACCCCCAAAGTCCCTGGGGCACTGAGATGTGGAGGCAGGTCACAGTGCCCCCCAGCCAGGCACCCACCCACCTGCTCCACTGCTGGTAATAAATTACAGACTGTTATTTTAACTCACTGTTCTTCCAACTCTTCCCACGTCTGAACTTGCACCATGAGTTTGGTCCCTCCAGCCCTTCCTAGGGATGCTCAGGAAATGTCTGCAGCCCTCAGTCCCCTGGGAAAAGCACCTCAGTGCGGGACAGGGGTCCTGATGACAGTCATGTGGGAATGAGCCTCAGCCTGGGGGTTTGCCAGCATTTAATTCCCCCCCAGCTCCACAGAACGATTGAGAAGTAAGCAACTTCTCATCTTTGCTGGCTTGTGGATAAATGGGGACAGTGGGGAGATTTGGGGTCATAGATTCTGCTATGAGGGAGGGATATGGTGGGGCAGTGCAGGATGCAGGATGCATGGAGCATCCCCAGGCTCTGGCTGTGGTGAGTCCTCAGAGGGGTTGTACAAGGTTCAGGTAACGTAAATGTCTCAGAAACAAAATCTGGTTCTCAAACCATTTCGGTTTGGATAACAGATTCTCCAAATGGTACTCAGATCCAAGCAGGGGGGTTCTGTCTCCCACACCTGAGTGGTCCCAACAGCACCAGCATTGCCAGTGAAATTTCTCACGCACATCTGTCACCCTCAGAGCAGAGGTTTGGTGCTGGTCTGAAGGCAAAGCCTCCAGGTACCAAAAATCCAAATTTTCTCCTGAAAGGCATAATCTGGTTGGTGCCCACAGCAAAGCAATCCAGACCACAGGACCGACATCTCCCCTCTCTGCCTGGGGGTCGGGGTCTGTGACCCCCTGGCTCCATCTGCAGGGACCCAGCTCCAGGGCTTTCCTGTGCAGCCCACAGCACCCCAGGACACAGAAATTGGAATCTTCTACTCTGCCCGTACTGACCTTTTCAAATATGCAGCAAAATTGGCTCTTCTCACCTCACTAGAGACTCATGAGCAACAGAGCTGGAAGAATTTATTGAATTTTACGAATAGGAAAGAAAAGACAGGACAAAGCCTATCTCCACCCCCGCGGGGTTTGTTTTTGCCCTGGCAGTGGGTGCTGGGGGGGCAGTGGGAGTGGAGGGGGGGCTGCGGTGTGTCTGGGGTGTCGAGCACCCCCGAGAGCTGGAGGGCTGCCGGCTGTCTGCGCATCGTTAGAGGGAGATACTGAGCTTCTCTCCAGAGCGTCGGAGCTGCACAGGGAGAAATGGCTTCTCCAGTCTGCAGCTGGGCTCATGCAGTAAGTTGGTGGAGATTTGGCTTGTAATGCAGCTGTGGCACACAAAGCAGTGCTGGGGCTGCCCCGGACCCTCTGGGAAAGGCAGGGTCCCCGCACAGGTCCTGCTCCAAAGCCCAGCTGCCCTTTGCTGTGGTGTCCCCATGTGCCATGTCCACCTCTGCTGGGCTGTGCTCTGGCTCCCTCCAGCTCCTCATCCTCATGGAAGAAACGAGGCACAGAAGAAAGCAGAAATGCCACCAGTGCACTTGGATGGAGCTCCAAATACAGCCCTGTTGGGGTGTCCCTCTGAGACCCATCAGGGCAGGATGGGGCTGGAGGAGCCAGGTGAAACAATACTCACAAGACAGGCAGGCAGATGCTGTCCTGCCCTTAATCCCCTGCTCTGTGAGGATGGTGATGGTGAGAGCAGAACATCCTTCCAGGCTGGCTCTGGACCATGGCTCTGGTTCTGGACCAGTGTCTGGTGCCATCTAACCCCCTTGGCTTGTCTGAGAGGCACCCAGGACTCTGCCCAGGGAAGGAGGATTCATCTGGAGCAGCCCTGACACAGCTTTGCCTTCGGTAGCTCTGGGAGCACAGCACAAATCCATCTGCCTGGTGGATCCAAGGCAGCACAGTCCTCCCCATGGGTAAGAACCTGGGGGGTGCTGCACCAGGACCCTGGAAACTGGAGGGAGATGGATGCTCAGGTTCTCAGACAGAGGCACAGCTCGGTCACTTCTCAGCTTTTGCTGAGCAAGAAAAAATACCTTCTACTTGTCCAGCTCTCATCTGCCAGCAGTATTCCAGGCACTGCCCCAAAACAAACAGCAGCAGACAATGAAAAACAGATGAATTGGGCGTAGATTCATGCAATATTAAAACCAGACAACAATTAAAGTAAACAGAAAACACTAGCAAGTATCAGTCAGCCCCCTGCAGCAGGCAGGAGGATGCAGGCAGCAGCACTGGGGTGCAGGGTAAGGCAATGGCCACTCACAGAGCATGTGATTCCTGTCCCTGATAAACTTTTTTACCACTTTTTTTTGGTGGAAATTTTTTTGCAGTGATCAGGACAACGCATCACTGGCATCAAGGATAATGTTCAGCATCTTCCTGTCTTACACAGGGACAATCCAGCAATCCGTTCCCAGTGGTAGAGGCAGTTTGCAGATTCCAGCAAGGTTTTCAAGCAGAAAATAAAAAAGCCAGCAGAAATGCCCATAGAAAATGTATGCAAATTTGTCTGAGTAATTACTGAGCCCGGCTTGATGGTGCAGACACCTCCAGCTCTGAAACACTGTTGATTGCAGCTCTGATGCAGGAAACGATCCCCATTCCTCTGACACTGAAATTCGCTCTCGGGTGCTGAAGGAGCCTGCACTGTCCGTGGCTGCACGGGGTGAGAGGACACAGTGTGCTGAGCAGGGGGGTGTCAGCTCCTGCCACCGGCTCTGCTGAGCTGGAGCCAGTTTAAATTGGAATCCTGTCACCAGCAGATTGCTCGCTCAGTCCAATTAGGACCCTGTCATACTATCAGGTGCCCAAGGAGGATTACAAACCACCCCAAATCATCGGATGGGAAGCTTGACATGAGTGTGAAATGTGTGCTGGTGGCCCAGAAAGCCAAACCAAGCTACTCCTGGGATGTTCCAGCAGCCTCATCCCAGCACTGTTTGCCCCATCCCATAGCCCTGGTCCCCATCCCACCACCTGGTGCTGGAGGACAAGACAGAACTTGTGGACATGCAGGGTCTCACAGTGACAGCAGCACAAGTCTTCTGCCCCAGCATGTCCTTACTGCACATCCAGGACTAATCAATCTTGATTCATTGCTAATGAACTTGAGAACAGTGTTGGGATGGATCAGGTGCCACTCAGGGTGAGATGGATAATATAATTAAGATTTCCTCAAAGGTCCCGTTTTTCTTACCTTGTTAATTAAGCTGATGTGGGGCCCTCCATGCAGAATACGTAATGAGAGGTTGCCAAGATAGAGCTGGCTGTTAGCAGGAGGTGGTGCTGGGGAAAACACCGGCCTTGACTACATGGTTGGGGATAGTTTAGTAGTTCTTTGGGGGTTTGGTCCTCCCAGAGTGGCCAAGAGCTGATCTCTGCTGAGAAGTCACTACATCCTTTAGACAAATGCACTTGGACTGCGCAGGGCAGGGTTTGCAGTCCCAGGAATGCAGGTGGAGATGGAGGGGCTCATCCACACCCAGGACAGCCTGAGCACCACAGGGCAAATTACAGCTTCCCAAAGCACAGCCCAGGGTGTGGGGACAGCCACTGCCTGCAGAAAGCCACGAGCAGCCCCATGGCCTCAAGGAGCAGCTCTCACTGGTGCTGGAGCCAGCAGGGTAGGAATGAGGTAACTCTGCTCCACTCCCCACGGCCCAGGCATGTTTTTGGTACTTGCACTCTGGTGGTGACTTATGAGAATGAATTAATGGCCTCTTAATAAGGGTGACAATTCCCTTAATTAGAAAGTATCAGAGCAGGGATAATTGCTTTATTTCATTTTGTTCCCCTGTATTACTTCCTTCATTTTTGGTCCCTGTTCTCAGCTGCTGGATGCCCTCTGGGAGCTCTACCTCCCCAGAGCCAGAAACACTCCCAGGGTCAATGGACACGACACGGAGCAGGGAAGGATGGAGAGAGGTGGGTTTGGGTAGGGCTGTGGTGCTGTGGCTTCACTGGGACAAAGATGGAGGGGGGTGGGTGAGGATCCAGCTGTGGTGCTGCCACTTTCACGGGGCCAGAGCCAGGTCTGTGGCAGTGCCACATGCTGCCAGCACTTGGGCAGGGTGAGAACAGGTCCCTGGCAGTTCACACTGGTGTTGGTGGCACATGGGACAGCCCAGCACGGGACATGGGGCTGGCAAGGCTGGACATGGCGGAGAGAGTTTCCCAAGGAACTCCCAGGGATGACCCACCAGAGAGCAGGCAGCAAGCAGCAGGAGTGGGGCAGCCCAGGGCAGGTAACAGCTCTGAGATAAATAACTGATTCCAAAATTAGTATCATTTGGGTCGACCAGAGTTGTTGCCCAGCCCGGATGCACCAGTAGCTTTGCTGCAAAACGAAGTTGAACATTCGCAGTGTTTCATTTGGGCTTTTTTTGGAAGGCCAAATTTGAGGTTTGGTTTTGATACAACATTCCCAGGCAGCATGTTTGCCCAGGCTGTTAGTGAGGGGCTCCAGGAAAAACCTTCACACCCCTCACCCAAAATGAGCCACTTCGCTTCCCATCAGAGGATGTATTTTCTAAAACTAGGGAGGATTTGATGAAGCCACAGAGCTTCATCACCAGTCATATCCCACATCCCTGCATCCCCCCCTACCCTCCATGGGGCTGTGGTTGCCCCAGAGACCTGCCCCCCTGCCTTGGGATGGGTCCCCATGGAACCCTGTGGGTCGATACCACCAGATGCTGCCATGTCAATATGACCTTGTAAATCATAAACAGCAGCCTCAGGACTCCCTGAGAGTTTCAATCCTCCTTGAGGCAGGAGCATTTCCCCCCCCCAACCCCGAACCTTCCCTCTTCACACTGCAACAATTTCCTTTCTCACCATATCCAAAATTAAATCTGTTCGGATTTTCTCTTTTTTTTCTCCCCTTTGGCTTGTATTTGCTGAGTGTATTCAAGCACGGGGGGAGGGGGGTGTGGGGGGAAATAATAAAAAAAGCCATCAGCATAATTCCCGGCTGTCGGAGTGATGGCGGGCTCCGGTTTCCAATCAGCGGCCCAGGCTGCGGAGCCGCGTGCGGGAGGAGGCTGGGGCTGGCCCGGATGCTGCTGCACAAACCAGCTGTGATTCCCTCTTTGTTCGGGAATAGCTGAGCCTCAG